CCTGTTTTCTCTTACAATTTGTTACGTGCTGTTTACTATCTCTGTGTCCAAGATAGGACAGATTAAACATTTCACAAAACATGTCCAAAAATGCACTTGCCTTTCACCCATATTCAGTCGTTATGTCTAAATATTATATGCACATGGTTTATGCATGAAGCTAATTACCCATGATTTATTTATCCATGATTTATCACATACTATACTTAACACAATTCACCTAGCAGACTAAGCAAAACCCCAAAACATATGCACAAGATCTGTTGACACAAAAGGCAAAAAACAAAACATAACCCAGCACATGGAAATGGGCTGGGAACTATGCCACTTTCCATTGGACATTCATCACTATTATAAATGTTGGCCTACACAGACATATTTTTCACACACTAGGTCTAACAGGATATGTTAGCACAATTAAATACACATTCTGAATGGCAAGCCATATATTTTCAAAATCCTGGTATTCATATGCAAGAAACTCTGGTCCTGTGTTCAATTAACCATTTTAGAATTATATTTGCCCACAGTTTTGTTTGATCTCTCCAACAGGATATTTCCAGATTTGTTCATCTCTCATTGGTCCAGACAGCAGGGTCACAGGACATAGGAATGAGGAAGGAATCATATCTAAGGGGCTGCCACAAAGAAAAGGAAGTCAACCTATTTTCCAAAGCACCTGAAAGCAGGACAGGAAGCAATGGATGGAAACTAATCAAGGAGAGAAGCAACCTAGAACAGGGGTGTCACACCAAAATTGCACCCACCCATTTCCAGCAATGGGGAAAAAGCCATGATACGTTGCGACAAGTCACGTGACATTGTGAATTTTACACCCTGACCTAGAACTGAGGAGAAATTTCCTAACAGTGAGAACGATTAATCAGTGGAATGGCTTGCCTTCAGAAGTTGTGGGTGACCCATCTCAGGAGGTTTTTTGAGAAGAGATTGGACAATGATTTGTCTGAAATGGTATAGGATTTCCTGCCTGACCAGGGGGTTGAACTAAAAGGTTCCTTCCAATTCTGTTATTCTGTATATATATTTTGAAAGAATATGAGACTCTAGTGCCTTTGACTATTACTTTTCCAAAGTGAAAAATATCAAGATGTTATGGATTTATTTCAGACTCTCTTAACAATCAGTGAAGACAATATGGCAATTGCCAATGTATCTTAGAGCCTGGCCAAGTGATCTGCTTGGCATGGATCAAGCCATTTGTCTTTAGTGAGGGCAGCCATCTTTGCCAGTCTCACTGGGTCTTCAATAGTAGCAGAATCCACAAAAATATATAGCAAGTGAAATCCCTCTTTTTAATGGAAGGAAAAACTAAGCTATTAGCAAAGTTAGTGTGATAGATTCATCTAGCTGAAGCCAAGTGATGCTTTTCAGAGGCATTGAGCTACAATCATAAACAATGTTGGGTAGGGCTGTTTTTCCAAAATAAATAAAGATTGTGAAGTTGGGAAACCTGATTTTTTTTTTTTTTAAGAGGAACAGTTTCAAATCTGCATTCAGCCACAAATCTCACTGGATAACTCAGCCTAACCTCGTTGAGGTGAAGACCCGTACACTGTGCTGAGCCCCTTGTTGTGTTTGTGTGATACAATCAGAGTACAGTTAATGTAAGGCTATTTCACAGATCTGTTTTTAGAATAAAATGGAATATACTTATACCTAACTCATATCTTCTCCTCCAAGCTTGGGGGGGGGGAGGGATGGGATATAACTGTAAACACATTAGATCTGCAGGAATTTTAAGGGACACCAATGATTTTTTAGAAGACTAATGGATTTTGGGTAGGGTAGTTTTTTTTTTTAACTTCTCTATAATAAATGGCAAATAGAAATAGAAAACCCAACTTCCACCTTACAGATCTGTTTCCAAAGTCAAAATGGTAAGCTCCATTTATAAGGAAGCATAAATGCCATTTTGGACTTCAAAGCCCAGAATTCTCCAGCCAGCATCCTGGCAGGGGAATTCTGGGAGTTGAAGCCCATTTGTCTTAAATTCACCACATTTAGGAAATACTGGTTTAAATCTGCCCATTCACCCCAAAGAAAACCTTTGTTCACCAGCTTTCTTTATTTATGCCAGTGTTTCTCAATCTTGACAATTTTAAGGCATGTGGACTTCAACTCCCAGAATTCCACAGTCAGCAATGCTGGCTGTGGAATTTTGGGAGTTGAAGTCCACATGCCTTAAAATTGTCAAGGTTGAGAAACACTGATTTATGCCTTGACATCAGGGGGGGTCAGATAGGTAAACTTGAGAGGCCCCCAAATAGCAAATAAACATTAGGGGTGTTAGAGAGCTAAGGATTGTGCCTGATAACACCTTCCTTACCTCACATCTCCAAATGTGTCAGACTGTACATGGACTTTTTATATTGTTTTTAAATATACTGCTTGTCACCCAGAATCAGGTGCAATATTTAAGCTGAGCGGTTCTGTAAACATTTTACAATAAACAAACCGCAAACAAATTTCAGTCCTTCTCAGAGAACCTATCCAAGAAGCTAAGTCTAGGAAAGTAAATGAGATGTTCCTTTGTTTAAGACCAGCAGTCTAGCCACTATGCCCTACTGCCTCCCACAGAACCTCTCAGCACCAAGGGAGGCATAATAACATTTCCTCCATCATCCCTTTCACTGCATAAGATGATACTCTGGCTTCCTGATGCTTCAACTCACAGCACACTACTATTATTGTAGGAATGATGCTGTGCCTGACACAAATTCACAAAGGTAGTAAAATTAGCTCTCAGCCAGCCTGCCTCCTATTTGGCTCTCATGTGCCATGTCAGTCTGGTACTGATCTCCGTCCCATCCCACCACCAGGAGCTTCTCCTTCCAACCATGGCTTACACCACCTTCACCTGTCAAGAAATACAAGCTCGTAGCCATATCACCTCTGGAATTACCTGAATTGTTAGTATTAGTGTTCTTTTGTATAAAATCGCCCAGTCTCTTAACAGACTCCCCCAGCTAAGCTCCATCATGAGGATAAGCTCAGCTCAGGTAGTATGATGCCATTCCAAATATTGATATTCCTGCGCTAGTAGTGTGAATTTCCTCCATAACCCCACCAAGACAGAAGGGTAGAAAATTCATAAGGAAGCCTTTCTTGAAGGAAACTTCCCTATAAAAGTCATTCTTCTGAAAAACACAGTCAGCCAAGAATGTGTGAGAAAAATGCTTAGCTTAAATCCACCAGCATATCCAGGACAGGACACACACATACAAAGATAACCCTTGTTCGCTGTATAATATAGGAATCATCCTCAATAAATTATATGTGCCCGTGATATAATATTAATAGCGGGTAATAGGGGGTGGGGTTACCATAACCCCAGTGTATGAAAAGATACATGCTAAGACAAGGAAAATAGGAGTTAAGGGAAATCATGCAAAAATATCAAGGCATCTAGCAGAGAGATGTACAATACCCTCTGTGCAATTATTCTTATAGGCAGATCGATGCTTGAAAAAAAAATGAGGGGAAAACCTCCATCAGTTTCTTAGTCACATGTGTGCACACACATAGACACACACTGCACAATAGTCCAAGCATCCTCGATCTTGTATTCTTCAAATGTGTTAGGACTACAACTTCCCCGTTAATTAGCCTCCATGATGGGGATGATGGTCATGGCAGCCCAACCAATATATTTGGAGGCTGGAAAAGGCTGCCCTGATGCACCATCTAGAGAAAGGTGTTAAAGATTCTTACATCCTCTCCTAGCCTGTCCTATTAAACCTGCACAACACACTAGCACAATCTCAGAAGCAGGCTAAGCGAAAAACACTACACTATTGCAAGAAACCAGTCTCATATTCTGCCTAAAATCACAGTTTGTCTGCCTGCCTATCAGCGAGGAGCTAAAGGAATCTATGTATGACACCAATTCTCTCCCTCTGCCCTAATACACACACACACACCCAGCCCTCTTACGCTTCTGTAGGATAGCAGACACATCCTATCATTCTGGCTCTAGAACACACCCCAATAGAAGTATGAATCTCAGACAAAAAAAATCTTACACTCCTGATACATTGATCATCTTTCTCAGCAAGGTGAAGAAAACAGTGAAGACACTTGCAGCAACACCAAGTTGATGACAATTGGTTCAAAGATGATTGTTTTAAAACCAAAGGTGGACAGGTACTGTTTTTACCCATGCACATTTTCACGAAAGCTGCAATGGAAATTTTATTTCCAATGAAAATTTGCACTTTTAGGAATAGATAGTTGTCCCTAGTAGGCAATAGGTATGTGTAGTGGCAAAGAAAGTTGCCACCTGCAGTATCCCACAATCTTAGACTGGGGATTATTATTCCAATAATTACCTGCCCTGTATTTCAGCACCCAGTACCCAGAAGTAGACTTAAGACAACTGTATGTGCATAAAACATCCAGCCACACACTTACTATCAGGAAGGAATTAAAAGATGGAGATATCTGAAGTAGAAGCCAATTCCTTTAAAAAAAAAGGGGGGGGGAAAGGAACCAGAAAGAGTCAAGACCCCAACCATTACACATCTGCAACACACCTAGATAGTCCACAACCACCATTCCAGTGCCTAGTGAGATAAAGGCCACAAGCTGGCAAAGCAACCAAAGTTGTCCAAAGTAGGATTCACATCTCCTACAAATCAGCCCCCAAAGGAAGAGATAAACAAGGGAATTCTCTAAGAAGATCAGCAAGGGCAGTGAGGTAGGGGATGATGGGGTTGCCGATGGCCCCAGTTTTCCAGTATATACAGAACTCTAGTCTCTGGAGTTCTGCCTGGCATCCTGGTTTATGGAATGACACCGGACAGGCTGCATAGTTCCAAGGCATGAATGCAGAGGGGCAAGCATGCACATCTCTCCCCCCCCCCTCCTCCAGAACCAGCAGGGCCCGGGGGAAGCCGGCCCAGGGAAGTCAGGCAGTGGCTCTCAAGTAACAGGGTTGGCCGACCTCGGCAGGGATCGGCCAGGACAGCCGCTCTTCTCACCTTGCGGTTAGAACGCCGCGGGGGCTCCGGATTCCTCGCTCGCCTTCCCCCGCACCTGCATCACTCCCTTGCTTGTTACTTCGCCTTGTTTTGCACTCCGACGTCGGTGGCGGCCGGGGAGGGGAGCAGGTTGGGGAAAACCGCCTTTTTCCCTTTTCTGGGGGAGGGAGGGCGGAATGGGGACCCCGGCTTCAAGGGCCGGCCCTCTGCAAGCCCAAAGGCCAGGGGTCTATTGCTGGGTGCCCCATCCAGAAGTTTGCTTCATTCCAAAGTGAGGAAGAAGAAGGATCGTATGTGTGTGTGTGTGTGTGTGTGTGTGTGTGTGTGTGTGTGTGTGTGTGTTTGTTTGTGTGTGTGTGTGTGTTGATGGGAGGAGGAGGAGGAAAGGACCGGTGCAGCGTTTCGAAAGGGGCAGCGGAATGGAAAAAGGAAACGCTGCAGCAGTGGACAAACGGGGGGGTAAATCTCGATCGGGGAGCGGGAGAGAAGGAGGGAGGGAGGAACGAAGGAATGCAGCAGCGAGAAGGGAGGGGGGCAATGACAGAAGGGGGGGAAAGCAGCGAAAGAAGGCAAGCAGCGGCGAGGCGGCGGCAAGGGAAGGGGGACGGCTGCAGCAGCAACGGCGGCGGCGGCAGCGGCAGACGAAGGGCTGGACGCCGAAGAGGGGACCGCTGGAGGACGAGGCGGAGGGGGGGCGAGGCAGGAGAGCGGAAAGAAAGAGGGATCAAGGCAGAAGCGCGGGGGGGGCGGGAGAGAGAATGAATGCAGCGGGAGGAGGGGGTGAGGGGAGCAGCCGGGAAAGCCGCCTCGGCGGCTGAAGGGGAGCGACAGAAGCTGGCGCCGCGCAAAGCAAGGCTGCCTGGAGGCGGGAAACACCGGCGGGCGTGGAAGGGGGCGATCGCAGGGGTCCGAAGGGCGGCCAAAGCGTCGCAGTTGCAAGGGGAAGGGGAGAGGGAGCGAAACGCAGGAGAAAGAGGAGAAAGCTGGGGGGGGGGGAAACCAAGCAGCCTCCAAAAATCGCAGCGGGCGGGGGGAGAGAGAAAAGCTGTCTGGGGAAACCACACGCGCGCGCGGGCACACACAGACACACAAAAGAGCAAGGAAGCAAGAAAGAAAAAGCGCCGCAAAGAAAGAAAAAAAGACCAGGGGGGCGGAAATGCCCAGGCCGCTACGAGTCCGTTTCTTGAAAGGATCCCACCGGCGGAGGGGGGAAAGGAAGAAGGGGGGAGGCTCGGCTCGGCCAGCGGCGGAGCCGCAGCGAGGTGGGACAGGAAGGCAGCTGCCGCCGCTACCGAGCTTGTCCTGGGGGCTTCGATCGGGCACTGGTGCCGCAGTCGGCTGCCGAGAGGCGGCTGGGCTGTCTACGAGTCGGTTCCCCCACCTCCCGCTTTCTCGCGCACACGTACACACGCGCGCGCGCGCGCATACACAGAGACCCACGCACCCAGGCTGGAAAGCACAGGGCGCCCCCCCCCCCCGCTGCCGGATCCCGCTGGATCACGGGATCCGCTTGGCTGGGAACTGACGAGGGGCGCGAGGAGAATTCACAATCAGCTCCCCCCGCCCCAGCTCAGCAGCACCTAGTCCGGCTCACTGCAGCTGGCCGTGATGTCAGAGGCACCACTCTTAAAGGGACAGACCGACCGGCTGGCGCTCGCAGGTTTGCCCGCTCAGCCGACGTCTGACTGTGTGCTTGTGCGTGTGTGTGTGTGTGTGTGTGTGCATGCAGGCATGTGTATGGAATTGGGGCGCGCGTGTTCCTGCGAGTTGCGTGCGGAAGGGATCTAAGCGAGAGGGAAACGCAGGCGACAGAGCGGCGTAGCGAAGGGAAGAGATGAGAGCGGAGATCCCAAACTGGCTTTCCAGACCCACATCACAAACTCGGGTGTGTGCAAGCGTGTGCACTCCTGGAGGAATAGACAGCCAATTAAAGCAAGAGAATGATTTCGATCACAGAACCTTTTAAACACTCGAGACAGGCAGATTTAACCACCAAACAATTTAAAAAAGATCAGAAGCTGGATTGAACGGTTAGCCAACCTCATAACCTTGGAGAGAGGAAATTCCTGCGTCCCCTGACTCCATCCGTCCGGTCTCTTTTGGGGAAAGTACTGTACCGATGTTTAAACGATCTCGGTTGCTTTTAAAGATCCCCCTTTTTTCTTCGTATTTCATTTAAGAAAAACAATGGAGGGTGCCCTCAAATTTCGCTTTAATTGTGCCTTTGCTCTGCTGCTTTATTCACAGAATTTTAGGGGAGCCCCAGATATTGTTATCTACCATTCCAAACACACGCGCGCGCGCGCGCGCGCACACACACACACACACAGACAGAGAGAGAGAGAGAGAGAGAGAGAGAGAGACAGACAGACAGACAGACAGACAGACAGACAGAGATGTTGTTCTATTTATTAGAGTTGAAACTACAAAGAGTGCGTGCGAGAAAAGCAACAAAGATGATTAGAGAGCTGGAGACTAAACCATAGGATGAAGATTTGCAGGAACTGGCTATGTCTAGTCTAGGGGTGACATGATAGCAGCCTTCCAATATCTGAGGGGTTGTCACACAGAAGAGGAGGCCAGTCTGTTCTCCAAAGCACCTGAGGGCAGGACAAGAAGTAAGGGATGGAAACTTATCAAGGAGAGATCCAACCTAGAATTAAGAAGAAATTTCCTGACAGTGAGAACAATGATCAAGTGGAACATCTCGCCTTCAGAAATTACAGGTACTCCGTCACTGGAGGATTTTAAGAAGAGGCTGGACAGCCATATGTCTGGAATGGGTGTGGGTTTTCCTGCTTAAACAGGGGTTTGGGTTAGATTAGAAGATCTCTGAAGGTCCCTTCCAACTTTGTTATTTTGTTACTGTTATTCTGATCAGGAAAAGGAAGGTGGATGCGGACTAATGAAGAGAAAAAGCCAGAAGCACAACATACTTGGTATGAAGTATTGTTGCTTCCCCATGGAGGAGAAATAAGAGGTTTTATATAGGTAGTCCTCAACAGCAAGGCCGTTGTTAAGTGAGTTTAGCCCCATTTTATGACTTTTCTTGTCACAGCTGTTAAGTGAACCACTATAATTCTTAAGTTAGTAACAGAGTTGTTAAGTGAATCTGGCTTCTCCATTGACTTTGCTTGTTAGAAGTCATAAATATGAGCCAAGTTGCCAAGCGTCTGGATTTTGATCATGTGATCATGGGGATGCTGTAAGGATTTCCCTTGTGAAAAATGGTCAGAGGTTATCTTTTTCAGTGCCATTATACCACTGAATTGTTACTAAGCTGTTGTAAATTGAGGATTACCTGTACAGAGAATTAGAACAGGAATTGCCAGGATTGGGCAGAAAGTGGGAGGAGCTAGAGATTGGGGATTTCTAAGTAGTACAGATTGGTTGGCTTGAACTGTTGGGACCTCTTCTACGTAGAAAAAAAAATATGAAAAAAGTGGAATGCGATAAACAAATTTTGGTGCGCTCTGGGTGTCAAGAGGAGAATTACAAAGCAACAGAAGTACATACTCCAAATGAATCAGATGGGAAATGCCAGTTTGGAATAAAGCCTGTATAAAGCTTTATTTTTTATTTTATTTTTATTTTTCCAAGGGATGTACAGCACGGTAGTTTTATTCTCCACCTATCCAAATTCTTTACAAAAGCCACAGCAGCGTTTCTCAGACTCGACCAATTGATGATGTGCAGACTTCATGTTCAACGTTCAGAAATGATGCAGGGAAATTGCTGTAGCCCAGAGAAGGACAACCTCGACTTACACTAATTTGTTTAGTGACCGTTCAAAGTTACAGCAGCACTGAAAAGGATGACTTACAACCATTTTTCACATTTACAACCGTTGTAGCATCCCTGTGGTCATGTGATCAAAATTCAGATGCTTGGCAACTGGCACGTATTTATGATGCTTGCAAGGTCCTGGGGTCGCTTGATCCCATTTTGCAACCTGAGAAGTAGTCAGCGGAGAGGCCAGGATTCACTTCACAACCATGTTAACAACTACAGTGTAAAATGGGCAAAAACTCACATAATAATAATGTTTTGCTTAGCAATGGAAATTTTGGGCTCAATTGTGGTCGTAAGTCGAGGACTACCGTCAACGCCAGACTCCAAATAAAAGGAACCAGTAGGTCCTCAGTCCACCAGAGAGACAAAAGGCGTAGAAGAAAGAGAAAGGATATGATGGAGGAGAATGCTTCCTTATTCCATTTCATTCTTATCACGTCAACATATTTTGAACTTTAGAATAACAGAGTTGGAAGGGACCTTGTAGATCATCTAGTCCAACCCCCTGCCCAAGCAGGATCCTCCAAAACTGATGCGGTCCTTTATAATGACAAAATCTAGCCTGGCATCTTTGTTCCTTCACTGGGCTTTGAGACGTTTTTGTCCAAAGTCTAAAATACTCTGTTCCCATATAGGTAGTCCTCAATTTATGACCACCAAGATGGGATCAACATCTCCATTGCTAAGCAAGGTGGTTGTTAAATGAGTCATCTCCCATTGTAATATGGTTGTTAAGCGAATCACTGCATTGTTAAGTGAATCGCATGACCATTAAGCAAATCCCGGGTTCCCCCATTGATTTTGCTTGTTGGAAGCCATTTAGGAAGGTCGCAAATGATGATCACATATCCCAGGCACACTCCAACAGTCATAAATACATGCCAGTTGCCAAGCCTTTTGATCATGTGACCATGGGGATGCTGCAAACAATTGTAAATGAGAGGACCTGTCAAAAGTCATTTTTTTCAGTACCACCATAACTTCAAATGGTTGCTAAACAAATGGTCATAAGTTGAGGACCACCTGTATTTATCCTGTTATGCAGAGAATACTAGAAGGTGGTGATGGGAGATGATGATCAAGATGGTCCTCGGATTTCGATGTCACAACACTCAGAAAGTAGACTTTCTTCAAGGAAAAAGTGGGTTCAACTTAGGTGGGCAATGGAGAGAACAACTTTCAAAGCTGACACAAGGGGTTATTGTGGGGGAAATACTGTAGGAGAGGAAGGTGTGTTGGATATGTTTGTTGCCTTGAGTTATTTGTAAAAATAATAAAGGGGGGATACACACAAGTAAATTAAAAAATTACTATGAAAATGTCTTCATCCTCTTCTGGATTTTGCTAATTTTTGCCCAAGCCTCTGGATGTTAACTGAGCTTCAAAGTGTCCTAGGGATACATAAAAAGAAATATCAGTGAACAAATAATACTACGGCTGATACTTGCTTAATTTATTTCATACATAAAGTCATCCAACAGCTAATGTGCCAAAGTGAAACACACACACACACACACACACACACACACACACACACACACACACTGTTTTAGTCTGTTCAGTCAAAGAAGGACACCTGGCAAGTTCTTTCTGTAACAATCAGAGTTCATCTGTGCCTCTCCTATGTAAATTTCATGAACTTTGGCTGTATTCATCACAGTAAGGGTCTCGCTACATAGGTTCCAGAGACAGGTCAGACCTCACTTAAATATAAAAGAGCTGTGATGGCGCAGTGGTTATAATGCAGTATTGCAAGCTAATTCTGCCCACAGTCAAGTGTTCGATCTTGGCAGGGCTCAAGGTGACTCAGCTTTCCATTCTTCTGAGGTTGGTAAAATGAGGACCCAGATTGTTGGGGGCAATATGCTGACATTTGTAAACCATTCAGAGAGTGCTGTAAAGCAGAGGTCTCTAATCTTTTTGGTTTGGCAGCCTGGAAAGGGTGACAGGCACCGCTACATGCGTGCGCACAAATGGGCTGTGCGCGAGCGCATGAGCACATGCAAACAGCTGCATGTGAGCATCTGAGCATGTGCAAATGGGGCTGCGTGAGTGAGAGTGCTGCAAATGGGTGGCACTAGCACTGGCAGGATGCTATGGGCAGCACTAGTACCGGTGGGACGCTCAGGGCAGGGTGGTGCTAGCTCCGGCAGGATGCTTGGGGTAGCGCTAGTGCCGGTGGGAAGCTTGGGGGCAGGGTGGTGCTAGCATTGGCGGGATGCTAGGGGCGGCACTAGTGCGAGTGTGAGGCAGTGAGTGCATGCGTTTGTGCACTCACCCCCCACACTCGTGCTAGCGCCGTCCCGAGCATCCTACCACCGCTAGCACCACCCTGCCCCCAAACATCCCACTGACACTAGCACTGCCCCAAGCATCCCGCTGGCATTAGCACTGCTCTGTTCCTGAGTGCCCCACCAGCACCAGCCATCCCTTCATACGGCCTGGTGGACAAACGGCTGTGACCTGGTAGTGGGCTGCAGCCCACAGGTTGGGGACCCCTGCTGTAAAGCACCATGGAGTGGTATATAAGTCTAAATACTATTGCTAACAAGGTAAAAGGTAAAAAGATAAAAGTGCCTTTGGTGCCTATCAATTTGGTCAGGTAACAAACCCATTTCTCGAGCTCTGGCAATCCACAGTCAAGTCATAGGGTGCTTTCTCATGAGTGGCTTCATCTGCACTCTTCTAGCCATTAACTCAGCAAAAGGATTCAGCTGGGATTATTTGTGCTACCCGGAGGGTTGAATTCTATGTGGCCTAAATATGAGACTGCAAGCGATCCTCTTCTTACACTTTTACTGCAGGACAATTTAGAGACAGCCATCGGAGATTTCTCTGCTTAGTTTCCTCTTCCACATGTGTCGGCCTTCCCAAGAATACCAGATAGGGAATTCTACAACCAGATGAGGTAATTCTACATTATTGTAAGGTGATATTAATGGGACCTTGCAGTTACTTATTGAAAGTACAAATCTCCCCCTTTACAGCCTGAGCAGTTAGAGAGGGTTTCCTCTGAGCCTCTCTTTTTCTGCCCATTATCCAGCTATGGGCTTTGTCCTTAGGCACCATCTCTTCTCCCTCCCTCCCTCCCCCCCCCTCTCTCTTCTCCATTTCCTCACATACCATTTCAAAATTGTATCACCAGCTAGGGATATATATGGCACTGGGATAGAGACTGGGAGACCGTGCATGCTAATCCCACCCTAGGTGCAAAGCCAGCTAAGTAACCCGGGGACAACCATTCACTCTTAGCCCTGGGAAGGAAGAAGCAATGGCAAACCACTTCCGAAATCTTGCAAAAAAAACCACTGCAGAAACTAGGCCAGGCAGCTCCCAGAGATAACAATGACAGGAAAAGAAAAAAAAGAAAAGAAGGAAGAAAGAAAAGGTAAAAGAAAAAGAAAGAAAAAGAAAAAGTGAAAGAGAAAAGAAAAAGGAGGAAAGAAAGAAAAAAAGGAAGGAAGGAAGGAAGGAAGGAAGGAAGGAAGGAAGGAAGGAAGGAAGGAAGGAAGGAAGGAAGGAAGGAAGGAAGGAAGGAAGGAAGGTTGAGTTAAGTGCCTCGATGGGGAATGCAGACCCATTTCAGTGACAGGTTGAGAGTGCAAAGTTGTTCTCTTTAAGACATAAGATATAACTTTTACTGCCATTTTTACTGTGGGCACACTGGCACACATTAAAAATGAAATTCCCGCCTTGTCTCAAAAGGGTACAGATAATACATGTATAAACATGCTATATACAACATACATATATACCTACGCCCCACATATACATGTATTCTTGTTCACTTGGACTCTTTATGAACATAAGCCTACTAGTCGTCTGATAGACCGCCATCCCAAAACAGCTTGGCTGAAAGGTCAGGTGGGCAAAGAAGGTGTGCAAGTTGAAAGATGCCTTTTGAAAGTCATTCCTTCCCACTTTGTCCCGGGCCTGTTCATTGCCGTATTGGTCTATCAGCCAGGACTTCTTTGGACTAAGTTTACTAGCAAGAGAAACTGGCAGAGCTCTTGTCAGTTTCACCCAGCTGCCAAACATCACAAATCAGTCAAATACAGGTAGTTCTCAACATACAACCATACAGTTAGTCCTCAAAGTATAACCATTCAAAGTTACAATGGCACTGAAAAAAGTGACTTATGACTGTCCTTGCATTTAAGACTACTGCAGCATCCCCCTAGTCCAGGCATGTCAAACTGCCGTCCCGCAGGCCGGATGCATCACGGCAAAACCGCGCCCACCCCATTGCTGGCAATGGGGAGTAAGTCCTGATATGCCGCACGATGTCACATGACGTCGCACATTTGACATGCCTGCTCTAGTCAGAGGATTAAAATTAGAGTGCTTGGCAACTGGCATGTATTTCCAATAGTTGCAGTATCTGGGGTGTGTGTGTGTGTGTGTGTGTGTGTGTGTGTGTGTGTGATGTGATCATCATTCCCAGCTGGCTTCCGACAAGCAATTTAATGTGGGAAGCCAGATTTGCTTAATGACCTTGTGATCTGCTTAACAAACACAGCAAAAATAGTCATAAACAACCGCCTCGCTTAGCAATGGAAATTCTAGTCCCAAATGTGGTTTTACCTCAAGGATTACCTGAATTATTGCAAAAGGCAATTATAGAATGGAAGTATACTTTGGATTACTCAGAAATGATCCCCTGCCTCTTGTCACGGAGTAATAAAAAACAGTAGAAAGTGTGTGAAACTTCTTGTCAGCAGAAGCAGCAAAAAGAAAGAAAAGAAAAACCCTGTAATGCACTATAGTACTCTGGGACAGAGCCAGTGATTCATCTCTTTTCCAGTTATTTTTAACTATGTATCTATATTGTGCAGGGATATCTGCACGGACCAAGGAGGCAAGGGTCAATGTTCTGCTCCCATCCCCTTGAAGTTAGGACTGTCCTACAGCAAGAAGCTTCTGCCCACTCTTTGATGGCTAAAGATCCAGGAGAGTTGGAAAGAAAGAAAGAAAGAAAGAAAGAAAGAAAGAAAGAAAGAAAGAAAGAAAGAAAGAAAGAAAGAAAGAAAGAAAGAAAGAAAAAAAGAAAGAAAGAAAGAAAGAAAGAGGGGGGAATTCTCTTGGTGGTCCTGACGCCTGAAACACCAGGCTCATGGCCTACCCATTTCCACCCTCCCTTCTACAGTTTACCAGCTCCTCCTGTTGCAGAATTAAGCTTCTGTTGTACCAGGTGCTACAAAAACAGCAAATGGGTTTTGCTTCTTGGCAGTTTAAGGGGGTGTAGGTAAAGATATATTTATCATCAAGCAGCAACAGAACAGCACACACCTTTTATCCTTCCCTCCCCACTCCTGCAGGTTACTTCAAAAGGTATTTCTCCTGTAAGATATTGTATGGTGATTAATTATGTGCCACTAAGTTGGTGTTGAGTCTTAGCAACCATCTAAACCAGGGGTCTCCAAACTTGACAACTTTACGACTTGTGGACTTCAACTCCCAGAATTCCCTAGCCAGCATGGGGAATGTCTGGGTGAGGAATTCTGGGCGTTGAAGTCCACCAGTCTTAGAGTTGCCAAGTTTGGAGACCCCCTGGTTTAAACATACCTTCTCTAGGATTGTCTGGCTTTAATCAAGCCACACAGATCTTCCATAGGTGTCCCATCATTGTTGTAATTGATCCATCCCCTAGATGCAGGTTGTCTTCTTCTCTTACCTTCCACCTTGTCGGTCCTACAAAGCAAACCAGATCAAGAAGCAGATGCCACATGTGCTAAAATCTACGTTGATTAAGATGAGCTAAAGTAATAGACTCTTACAAATCTGAACGTGCTTCTCTTAACCGCAGGTGAATTCATCTGAGCCATTTTCGTACCCCTTCCCCCTTGTCTTCCTTAAGTATTATTTATGAACTTCTTGTCTTGCTAATGGATCTTCCCTCTTTCCATCAAGGCCAGCCTCTATCTCATTGTTTCTCAACTTTGGTGGCTTTAAGGTGTGTGGACCAACTCCCAGAATTCCTTGGCCAGCCATGCTGGCCAGGGAATTCTGGGAGTTGAAGTTCACACACCTTAAAGTCACCACAAGGTTGAGAAATACTGATCTATCCTTTCTACACATCTTTCCCAGCACTATTTGTGGGATTGCGTGTCCCCAGCAATATCTCCCTGTCCTACACATTCTCGTAGAGATGGGCATGCTTTGGGTCCCTTCCTTGAAGTTCTGTCATCTGGTGGGATCCAGGAGGTGTGCTTTTTCCTTTTGGAACGAAACTGCTTCTTTAATGTTAAACTCCTTTAACATATACAGCTGGCCCAGACCCTGCTGGCTTTTATAAAGTCTCTAAAAACTTGGTTCTTCTATTAGATATTGGGCTGATTGGACTGGTTGATCGAATTTCCATACGGTGAGTTATAATAGGAATCCAGGTTCCAATCATTTATTAATTTTTGCTGTTGTTTTAAACCAGTGTTTCTCAACCTTGACAATTTTGAGGCATGTGGACTTCAACTCCCAGAATTCCACAGCCAGCATTGCTGGCTGTGGAATTCTGGGAATTGAAGTCCACATGCCTTAAAATTGTCAAGGTTGAGAAACACTGTTTTAAACAGTTTTATTTGCTGATATTTTATTGTGTGCTGCCCAGAGTCTCAGTTGGGCAGCCTATGAATGAATAATGAACACAACTGAATTATATACTGAATAATAGGAGGCAGCCAGGGAATGAATGAATAACTATTTATTATAGACTTCTCAAGGAAGCTAGATCTTCACATTACGTGTCCAAAATATGATAATTTGATCCTGATCATTTGTGCCTCAAGGGAGAACTTTAATTCGTCTTGCAATATAAGCTAGGGATAAATAGGGAGAACAAGATCCTTCCTTAAAATAAATTATGTATAATACAGTTTAATTTTGACTTCATGCGTAGTGTGAATTAAGAGGCTATAGTTTCTAAAACCTGATTTGCAGCTTAGAATAAATTCTTTGCGTTGATCAGGTATCTTCCAAAATAGATTGTGGAAATGCTTTCATACATGAATTTGAGTACTTGAAAATATGCTGATTTGCAAACTAGTTAATTGTGGACTGGATTGCAAAGGAATTCAATACTCTGTCAGGAAGCAGTTAGTCCAGACAGAGGCAGTGAGCCCCTTTCACTGGAGGGCTTCCCCCCAAGGCTAGGTAACCATCTTTCTGAGATATTTTAATTTGGTTTGCTACTCTGTCCATATTTAATGGCTTAAATATCCCTTTTCTAATTCATAAGCACACACTAAATTACATTGCTTAACTATGGTTAACAACAACAATAATAACAATAATAATAAAGTTGGAAGGTACTTTGGAGGTCATCTAGTCCAACCCCCTCCTCAGGCAGGAAACCCTACACCATTTCAGACAAATGGCTGTCCAATCTCTTCTTAAAGACTTCCAGTGTTGGAGCATTCACAGCTTCTGGAGGCAGGTTGTTCCACTGATTAATTGTTCCAATTGTCAGGAAGTTTCTCCTTAGTTCTAGGTTGCTTCTCTCTGGTTAGTTTCCACCTATTGTTTCTTGTCCTGCCTTCGATTGCTTTGGAGAATAGCTTGACTCCCTCTTCTTTGTGGCAACCCCTGAGATATCGGAACATTGCTATCATGTCACCCCTCGTCTTTCTCTTCATTAAATAGACATAACCCAATTCCAGCAACCGATCCTTATATGTTTTAACCTCCAGTCCCCTAATCATTTTTGTTGCTCTTCTCTGCACTCTTTCTAGAGTCTCAACATCTTTTTTACATTGAGGTGACCAAAACAGGATGCAGTATTCCAAGGGTGGCCTTACCAAGGCTTTATAAAGTGATATTAACACTTCATGTGATCTTGATTCTATCCCTCTGTTAATGCAGCCCAGCACTGTGTTGGCTTTTTTGGCAGCTGCAGCACATTGCTGGCTTAATATTTAAGTGATTGTCCACTAGGACTCCGAGATCCCTCTCACAGTTGCTACTATTGAGCAAGGTACCTCCTATACTATACCTGTGCATTTAGTTTTTCTTGCCTAAATGTAGAACCTTACTTTTTTCACTATTGAATTTTATTTTGTTAGATAGCGCCCAGTGTTCAAGTCTGTCCAGATCCTTCTGTATCCTAAGCCTGTCTTCTGGAGTGTTGGCTATTCCTGTCAGCTTGGTGTCATCTGCACATTTGATGAGTTCCCCATCTATCCCCTTATCCAAATCGTTGATGAAGATGTTGAAGAGCCCTGGGACCAGAACAGAGCCCTGGGGCACCCCACTACACACTTCCCTCCATGTAGAATCAATAGAAACAAATATGTGTAGCTCAGGGTTGAACAGTAAGGTCCTTGGCTCTCCCTGAGCTTGGTTATTTTCTTGCAGATGTTTCATTACCAAATTAGGTAACGTCATCAGTGCTAGCATGTGAATAGAGTTTGTTCTCCTTTTGTATAATTGTGGCTTGCTCTGTCAGTACTGGTGGGAATGGACTTGGTGTTTCCTTGATTGGGCTTTTGTTTACTGTTAATTTGTTTTTCTGGATTGGTAATTTCTTGATTGCTTCTTGATTGTTGGTCTAGTGTTAATCCTGATGTTAATTTCTGCTTATCTGAGTTTTGTTTGTAGCTAAGGAGGGATTTAAGTCTTTTTGTTTCCTTTTTGGCTTTTTGATAGTCTCTTTTGAATGATACATAGATGTTGTTTATCCCTATGTGCTTATTGATGGCTGATTTGTCTAAGTGCCAAGTTTCCAGGAATTCTCTAGTTCGCATTTTTTGGACTTGGCTTGATCTAACAGAATAAGGGAATTGGAAGGGGCCTTGAAGGTCTTCTAGTCCAACTCCCTGCTCAAGCAGGAGACTCTATGCCATTTCAGACAAATGACTGTCCAGTCTCTTCTTAAAAACCTCAGTTGACACAGCACCCATAGTCTTTTGGTGGTTTCTGATTTTGTTTTTGATGTAGGGCAGTATTATCCTTTTTGAAGCTTGTGTTGGTTGCCCTACATTGGGTTGAATGGCCAGGCACTTTTTGATAAAGTTGTATAGAAGATGTTGCATAGATGATGATACTTTTTCTGATGTTCAGGGTTGCTGCAGTGGGTTTGTGCTTGTCTAAATAGTGTTCTTACACAGCTTCTCTTATGGGAGGTTGGGTTGTTACTTAACCTGATTCCATGGGAATTCCTTTGATTTGTTGGTAGATTTTTCCATCTAACTGGAATGTGTGGTTAGGCAAAGGTTGATAACATCCATGATTCTGGATATTTCAATCTTGTTGTATGTGATTAGGTCAGGTGTGCTTATTCAGCAGTACATGGTAAACAATGTACCCACCACATTTTATCAATTGTAAATTTTGATTTAATTTAAACAATAGTATATATATATATGTCACTGCAGAATAATCAGAATAAAATAATCAGATTATTCAGAATAATCAGATCTCTGACTTCAGAGACCATATAATCCAATTCTTTATTCAAGACAGAATCCACTAGAGAATCTTTGACAGATGACCATCCAACTTCTGTTTGAAGACTTTAACTAATGGACAACATGCTGATTTCCTGACTTACTAAGCCTCTGGAAACAAAGAAAAAATGACAAGGAGGCACTAACTGTCAGTAGAACTTGGGAACTGGCACCAAGGTCTTCCTCCAAAGGATAATTAACTACTACTTTAGCCGGTAGTATCACATAACATTGTAAAAAACAAAACCAGAATCAGAATAACAGAGTTGAAAGGAACCTTGGAGGTCTTCTAGTCCATCCCCCTGTTCAAGCAAGAAATCTTATATGGACAAATGGCTGTCCAGTCTCTTCTTAAAAACTTTTGAGTGTTGGAGCATTCACAACTTCTGGAGGCAAATTGTTCCAATAATTAATTGTTCTAACTGTCAGGAAATTTCTTAGTTTTAGGTTGCTTCTCTCCTTGATTAGTTTCCATTCATTGTTTCTTGTCCTGCCTTCAGTTGCTTTGGAGAATAGCTTGACTCCCTCTTCTTTGTGGCAACCCCTGAGATAGTGGAACACTGCTATCATGTCACCCTTCGTCCTGCTTTTTTCCCATGGATCAAAGAACTCAAGAGCCATCCGGAGAAAGAAGAAGTATATTGTGATAGATGATTACCATTAAGGGGGACTAATGCAGCTTGGGCAGACCGGATATGATGTCACAGGAGGTGCACTGTCCACCAGGTGACCATACATAGAATGTGATGGAGAGATTACCAAGATTATACAAACTCACTGACAATTAGTCCAAAGAGACTTTGGAAGATTCTCTGGATATTAAAAGGCCTTGGGCAGAAAAGCAAAAGGACTTGAAAATATGGGTAGTTTTTCATCAGTCCTTCCTAGTACTATATAAAAAAGGAGACAGGATCCTGGAAGGCATCAACTGCACAGATGGTGTCACCACACAAATTTTGGCTTCCACGACAATGACCTAAGTTACCATCATGAAGGGAAGGAAGTGTCGGGGCAGGTGCCTTGCCAGTCTCATCAGGAGGGCAGGATGAAATTAAAAATAAGTGGGGAGGTGATAAAGGTCCAGAACGTAATATGTAGCTGAAGGCACTGAGTCCTAAGGAGCAACTGCAAAGGAAGAAACAGAAAGGAGAAACAGGAGACCAGCATGGGGACTTAAAAGTTTCCAAAACACAAGCGGTACCCAAAATCTTAAAAGTTTCTAGACCAACGGTTCTCAACCTGTGGGTTGGGACC